CGCCTCTTGCTCCTCCCATCACCACTAAGGTAACAAGTCAGCCCTCTTCTACCACTTCAGATACCTTCCCTAACCTTGATCTCCCTATTGCCCTTTGCAAAGGCAAACGGAAATGTACAACTCATTGCATTTCCAAACACCTGTCCTACAGCCTTCTTTCCCCTTCCTACTATTCCTCCCTTGCCTCTGTTTCCACACATGTGAAATCAAAACAGATCATCCAATAGCTACCACAATCCCCGAAGACTGTCCCCTAGGTCCTCTTAATTTACTTGATCAAATTCTGGTAAGACCAGGGCTCAATCTGGCACAGATTTGCCAATAGCTGCCACAATCCTTTTCACGTTCCAGGCTTTATCCTCAAACAATCTTCTATTTTTTTTTTCTTTCCAAGATGAGAAGATTTATTAAGGACACCTTGGCTGAAAATTTCTGACCCTAAACAAGGCTGTGAACAAACTCCATATGACCCCAGAAATTTTGTAAGAAATAAATAAGTGGCTGACTGTCTCTTCATGTTCTCTGCACAACACATACTGGCCATACTGAACCATCTGTTCTTTAAATGATCCATTATGAAGACACTGTCCACTGCAACCATCCATGCAAAGGCTTCACAGAAAAGCTAGGATGGGCCAATTGGTCTTCTGGACAAGGTATCAGCTGCTACATTGGATGGGCCAGGCTTGTATTCAATGCAGTAGTCAATGGACTCCAAAAGTCTGATATGATTCAACTTTCAATCCAATTATCCTGGATTTGGAATGTTAGAACTTGCATCCGATTAATAATTGGATTGGATGTAAATTTAACCCCAGCCAGTCCATTTTAAAATCCAAGTCCGATAAAAACTATTATTTTATGTATATATGTAGTATAATGTCTACATATAGATATTATGTATAGTTATATAAAATTTGTAATCGATAAATCTAATGTATCATATTTATATACATTTATTATACATTTAAGTTAAAAATAATTAGTTTTTGATAAACGTTTTGAATTTTTTAGTTATTTTAAACACAATAAGATGGTTGTGGATTAAATCCGAATCCAATTGAAATCCAACATGATAATTGGATGTGGATGTGGATCTACATGTTTCATGATCGGATGTGGAAGCAAACACAGCTGGATCTGATCCGAATTTGATCTGTTTACAGCACTAGGAAAATCCCAATAACTTGTAGAGCCACCTTTGCTTCTCGATATTTAGGGTGTGCTGATCCAATAAGTACTTTAAACTCTACTAATCAGTCCTCATAATGAATGGATGGCCCAATAAGTAGGCACGCCATTTCTAAACTCCAAACATGACCACCGTTAGCTCCTTCTCATAGGTGGACTTGGACTGTGCCTGACTAGATAACACCTTGCTGATGTAGATGATGGGCCAACCTTCTTGGGTAGTACTGCCCCCACCCACTGCTCGACATTCACGGAATGACGAAGGTTTTGGATTAATCAGGTCAGGCTAGGACAGGTAGGAAGATAGCGCAGCCTTGAGTGACTCAAATGCCCATTGAGCTTGCTTATCCCAGTGGAAGTTATCCTTCTTGAGCAGTTAAGGGAGCAGATGCCAATCCATAATCTTTAACAAATCATCTGTAATAACCTGTCAAGTCCAGGAAGCCCCCAAGGACCTTGATTGATGTGGATTTAGGCCAAGAGAGCATGCACTTGACCTTGTCCATTTCTGCCATAACCTGCGCATCTCTAACCACATAGCCCAAGTAGTGGATTTGGTCTTGGCCAAAGGCACACTTGGATCTCTTTGCAAATAGTTTGTAATCCCGCAAGGTGTCTAGAGTCAACTCAAGGTGCTTTAAGTGGGTTTCCTAATCACCACTATAAATCAATATGTCATCAAAGAACACCAAATTGTTGGAATACTGCACAACATAGAGATCACTTCAAGGGCAACCTAACCTCCTTTAGAAGAGAATGAAAGAAGACAAAAATGAATGGGGTAATTATTTGATTTTTTTCTTCTTCACACCAAATTATATAACTTCTTACATTGTGCAGATTCCCTTGTAACAAACTGGGGATTCCCCTTAACCGTACAACTGATGTGACTTCCTTTGATAGACAAATGTTATGGAATGAAGTCTCTGCCACATAGGCTAGATGATGTCTGACCTCCTTAGGCCTGGGCCCTACTCTGTTGTGCAAATGGCAGTCCCAACTCAGCTCCTTAGAAGTTTTACAACCAAATTGATCACCTTGATTCTGTAGTTGATTTCTGTTGTTCCTTTCATACCAGATAGCCCACATAACTGCTGCCGGAACGGCTGATCAGCAGACCTTCCCTTTCCTAGTCAGCCCACATAACTGCCCACATAAAAAAACTTAACTTTCCAGTATATAGAATCATGGGCTTAGAGGTTTATATGCAGATTTTGGAGCATAGCAAGAAGCTCAGCCACTAAATCCAGTTCCCAATCATTGAAAATCCTTCTAAAGAAGGGGATCCATGCAATCATGTTATCATCAACTACATAGGATTCAGCAACCCACACCATTTTGTTCTTTGCTACATTAAATAGAGCCAGGTACAAGTATTTCAAAGCTCTGTCCAAACACCACATCCGTAAGATATGTGAGGATTCTCAGCATCCCAGCCATTACTATGTAATCCATATTTCTCCATTAAGATCTTTCACCATAGATTATTTGGTTCTGTGGAGAATCACCAAAACCACCTATCCAACAAGGCTGTGTTAAAATGCTTAACCTTCCTGATTTCCAAATCACCATTCCAATCGTTCCATAAAAAATTCCTCAATTTCTGCTCAATTTTACCTGCCACTTCAGAGGGGATTGAGAAAGTAGACATATAATATTCCAGGAGACTAGCTAAGACACTCTTAATTAGAACCATTTTGCCTCCTTTAGAAAGGTAACGAGCTTTCCAAGCTGCAAACTTCGAATTCATTCTTTCTAGGATTGGATTCCAAATGGATTTTTAAGTGCTCTTTAGTCTTTTCCCCGAGTGGAAAGCCCAAGTATTTAGTGGGAAGGCTACCAACTTTCATAATTTTAATTATAGTTCTTTATCTTTTAAAACTGACTGGTATTAAGAAGAATGAATGGACAGCATTAGCAAAAATGAAGGTTCTCACTCACTGAAGCTCCAAGAACAACATATTTGCTAATGTTGTTAATTTATTCTTTTTGCTAATGTTGTTCCTTATCTTTCATATACAGATTAAGAATTTAAATTGTTCAGTGCTCAAATGTTTGATTTTTTTTTCATCTTTGCTTTGAATATGTTTTGTATGTTATGTTTATGTATTTTAATTTGAACTAACAGACTTTTTAAAACTTTTAGCTTAAAATTAAAGTGTGCATTTTTTAACTAATACTACATTTAATATTTTTATTTATTTATTTTCATTTTCTTCTTTGTTTGCATTTTAAAATTTTTCAGAAAATTTGCCCCCTGATTCATAAAGGCATTCATCTTGCCTTATGCCTTGCACCTAAGTCACAAAAAGCCCTTTGCACTTTTCAAATAGTGGAGACCAGAATAGTAATGGACCTTAGACTAACTTAACCATCACACGAGTAGTAAGTCCTAATAATAGGTGGCCTGTGAGGCTGTGACATCAAGTATTAGTCATTTCCTGTACAGCATTAAACATGCATGCACACTGATTACTGACAAAAATAGCTCAATTGTAATATATACAATATAGAAGTGGATTGCCTCTACAAGCATCTTCTGCAGATTGGAAACTCATATGTGCCAAGAAGCCTACTAGTGGACATTGGGGATGTGTAGGATGGTTTTTGGCATTTGACCAGGCAATAGTAGGGGTGCACAATCGATTGGTTCAGTTTGGTTTGGTTCAAACTGAGGACCTAACCGATTATTCAGTTTTACCATTTCCTCTAACCAAACTGAACTGAATTATATTTTAGAACCGAACCGACCCTAACCGAATTCAGTTCGGTTTGGTTCAGTTTTCGATTCGGTTATATCCTGGTTCCACATAAATGACAAGCATTTAAAAAGTGTTATTGATGAAAAGTTAAAATGGCCCCAAAACCCAATGGTTTTAATTAATTAACTATTAACTATTATTAATTAAAAGTCGGAATGACCCCAAAGCCCAATGGTTTTAATTAATTAGCTATTATTAATTAAAAGCTAAAATAGGCCCAAAGCCCTATGCCAATGGGGAATTGGCGAATTGGCCATTTTCAAAAATAATTAATGATTAATAAACAATTAATGACTAATAAACAATTAATAATGAGTGTAGGTTTTAATTAACTATTATTAATTGTTCATTGGGAAATATAATAATTAATCAGCACAAAGTATCAAATAAAACATTAATGTTTAATATACTTAACTAAATAACAGCATTAATTTGGTTTTCGGTTCGGTTCGGTTGAAAATTTCAGTCAAACCGAACCAAACCAAAAACCAATTTTTTAAAAAAATAAAAACCGAGCCGAACCGAATTAGCTTTTTCGGTTTGGTTCGGTTCGGTTTTCGGTTTATCAACCGAATTTGAACACCCCTAGGCAATAGACATCAAAATAAATCCAATCATCTATTATTTTGAAACCAAGCACAACTGAGCCCTTTCTCTCTCTCTCTTTCAAACTAGTAGGGCAATCCAAACCCAACCAAAAGTCAGTACATGGTCTAGTAAACCAAAGATTCTTTCATAAATTAGAATTCATTATTCTCTAGTTCAGAACACCAGGTTGATTCGTAGAGTGGTTCAGTGTACAGGTTACCTTGATCTCTAGTTTGCCTCATCTCCTACAGGTTAATTGTTCTCTTCTTATTATCTTATAGTTGAGCTCAATTTAACATTATAACCTTATTTTAAGCAGTTACTTCCTTAAAACTTTTGTAAATCACAACCACAAGTTTCCAAGTTTCACTGATATTCTATGAACAGTGAAGAGTCTAAAAGCAAAACAATATGTTATGGAGGGTAATAATGCAAAAGACATTGAAAGTAGGGAATGACCTTTGCTAATCCCGCAATACTTCTTCTTTTCCGCTTCCTAACATTTCCTCTTGAGGCTTTAGTAGTATCAATTGAATTATTATCATCAGTCTGAAGCGCACTTGGCTTCTGCAAAAATAGGCAGAAGAACTTCAAAATAAAGATAAGTAAGAAGCTTATTAAATAGTCTGATAAGTGAAAGTCTCACCTTAACCACATGGCTATCAGTTCTCCCATTTTTATGTGATGTTTCATTCAAATCCTGACCAGTCCGTTTGCCCCTACGTTTTGATGAGAAGCTTTTGTTTGTTGGCAAGCATGAACCCAGCAAACCAGATTCGGTAGGTTCAACCATTTCTTTCTTTGGTGACATATCATCTTCTGAATCAGTGTGGGCTTCCACATCAAATTTGATAGATCGCATAGATATGTGATTTGAATTGTCCTCTAAAGTTTTCTTCAGACCCTTGGAAGAGCTCAAGTGAGATGAATTGTGAACATCCTGAGAAGATAATGACCTCTTCCGTTTTGGTATTGCCATAGTTATTGAATCATTAGTTTTCCTTCTTTTCCTTCTCTGTGTTTTGGGAATTTCCTCATTCATTGTTTGATCATTTTCTGTTTCTCCACTTGCAAAATATTCATGACCATTGCCTGATTCCAAGTTATTGGATCTTTCCAAATTATCCAAATTTATTTCCCTCACCATTCCCAAAATATCAACATCATTTTTTGATTTTTTTCTTCCGTCTGGTAAAGTCTTCTTCTTCACTACTTTTCTAGTTTTGGCTCGCTGAGATTTTAAACGTTTTATCATCTTCCCAAGGGTTATTTCATTCTCATCTCTATCACTAGCCTTCAGAACGTTTTCATCCTCGGGAATTTCTGAATGAACCTGACAGCATTGCAGGAGAGACACTTAAGAAGTTAATAACATAGATAAGAATAGTTGTCTAAAATAACCACAATTTCTCAAGGAATTGATGATAAAGAATACTAAGATGTTGAAAATACCATTCCATTAGTTTCCAAATCAATTGATTCAAGATGGTCCAAGACACTGTCACCAGCCAACCATGTTGGCCTCTCAGTGGTCTGAAAGGAAAAGGCAACAGAAACTAAGACGTAAGATATAATACAAATCAAAATATAAACAGAGATATGTTGGAAATAACACTGTAAAATTCCCTTGATTTTAATATATCAGAACAATGGTTTTCCACGATTATAGGATAAATGGAGAAAATTCCCTTCCAGATCAACTAACTTTTTCATGCTGGCGACAAGCAGTCCTGTAATGCTTGTTCAAAAGTCTTTATGGACATACAAGAAATTTACATGCAAAGAGACCCAAAGAAACTAGTCTGTAAGGTGGTAAAGAAAATTATATGCAAACAAGCCACTCAAGTGGGTTGGATAAAGTGACAGACAACTGTAATTTGAATTAGCACAATAGGCATTGAAGCACGCTACATATTGGATGATAATACTCTCATTTCATTAGTCACTAGCAATGCCATGCAATTTGCATGTCTATCTTAATGTTCATTTGCACTAGCATAACTGAATTCATGGTTGTAAGTTTCCCTTATATCCCAACCATATGTAGGGGTGTTCATTATATGGTCTAGACCACCAAGCCAAACCAAATTTGGTGGTTAAACTGTAAACTGTATTAAACCGAATTATTAATAATAAATTTACTAATGTATATAATATATATAACACATATGTTTAAGCATATGTATGTATGTGCGTATCCATTTAACATTTCATATATTGTTGTTATTTGTTTCAACTTTTCACTTGTACTTTGATACCCAAGGAGATGTTTATGTTTGAGATAGTATGAATGTGATTTACTCATAAAAAAAAAGTATGAATGTAATTTATATAATAGTAATAGGTGGCACTTGTTAGCATTTCAATTTGATAATTGAATTATATTTGTTATTTATGTAGATACACATGTTATTTGGGCTTTCTAATTGGGTTAAGCCCAATAGAATGGCCCAAACATAATAGAAACTAGACCAAACTGTAAAAGAACGGATTGATCTGGTTTGGTTTCTGTACTAAAATAGTTTGGCTTGTTCTAAGAATTTATCAAACTGTAATTTACTGGTTTAATCTGAGATTTTCTCCAAACCGGACCTTAAACACCCCTAACCATATGAGGTTGGGCTACATGAATCCAGTTATGCCATTCTGTCCTGTTTAATGCCATATCCATTGTTAAATACGAGGACTTAAATCATTTCTCACTTCTTCGGCCTATGTCCTTTTTGGTCTGCCCCTAGCCCTTTTAGCCCCTTCAAATTGTAATAGATTGCTTCTTCTTATAGGTGCTGTAGATGGCCTTTTATGCACATGACCAAACCATCTTAATCTACACTCTCATTTTACCACCTATTAGAGCTACTCTTAGGTTCCTTCAAATGACTTCATTTCTAACCCTATCCTTTCTAGTTTATACGCATTTCTACCATACTCATTTTTTGGTCATGTTTTTTGACTGTCCAACACTCTGCTCATAAAATATAGATAGCTTCACAATTGTTTTGTGGAATTTTCCTTTTAATCTAAGTAATTCACCTATCACACAAAATTCCGATGCACCCTTCTATTTTGCCCATCTTGCTCTAACTCTATAGGTGACATCCTCCTCTGTCTCTCCCTTGTTATGAATTATTGAACCAAAGTATTGGGAAAGGTAACATTGAGTTGTCTCTTGCCATCAATCCTAAGTGTACCCTGATTTACACTCCTATTATTATTGGAAATATCTCTTGTAAGTTTCTATCATGACATGGAAAAATATTAAGAAGGTCTGGTCCCTATTGGAAGAGACATGCTTGGTTGGACCCAAGCCCATATACCTAATAGTTAAGGGTGTCAATGGACCGGTTTTGGATTGGACCCCGTCCAGTCCAAAATCAATTTGGACGGATCGGACGGACCAACAAGACATATTGGATTGGACCAATCCGGTCCAAAATATATATTAGATTGGATTGGACCTGGTCCGTCCGTAACAAATTTATATTGGATTGGGTTGGATTAAGCCAATATCTGGTCCATTGATATAAGATACGAATATACATGTCAATAGACCAGGTTTGGGTTGAAACCAATTTAAATAAAAATGAATTTGAACAGATTGGACAGTCCAGACATTGAATTGGACCGGTCCAAATTGGTCCACAACATTCATTGGATTGAATTGGACCTGGTCCATTTATAATGGACTCACATTGGACTGGATCGGATTGGACCAAATCCAGTCCAATTGACACCCCAACTAATAGTTGGCTTGCTGCATGATAACCTTTCTGACCCAACTTACAACAAAAAGAGAGTAAAAGATATCTCCAAGCAATTGATAAAAACACCTCAGTCCGTGCATTGCAACCAACCATAATACCATACGTTGTGTGTTGTGGTGTAGCTTTTTTTTTATAATTAAAAAAAAGAAACAATTCTATTAAAGCTTAAAATGTGAAAAAAATTACAGCAGAAATTAGAAACCACAAACTCAACTATTGGTCATGCAAAGAAGTCCTTGGCTCCCAGCTTCCCACAACCCAAATACACATAATTACCTACCGAGACTTCAGGCCCCCAATATACATCCACCCCTTGTGCCCCTTATCTAGCTAATTCACCAGCAATTTATATTGTTATGACTTCTAAGAATTAATCCTTGGAGCCCTGTTCTCTTTTCAACCAAATGAAACATACTAAAAATATAGAAGTAAACTCTTGCACTGAAGATTTTCCTTGATTAATGTGCGTATACATCATCAAGGAAATTCATTTAATTATCAGCATAAATCTGATCAGAAAATCAGAATCAACTGACTGATTACAACTATAAAAAGGACTATCATATGCAAGCAAAGGCAGCACAAATAATCTTCCTGTCTTTTGATAAGCCAATTAAAACTGCTAAGATATAAAAAAAAAGACAGGAAAAAAAAACTAGATCAAAAATAGACATTAAATTGACAGAAATCATGATACTACAAGAGTTGGCTTGTCCTAACAAACCTATGGCAGATGATCAATAACTGACATATCCATCAAAATCTATGCCAAATAATGAGCAATATCTCCACCTTTCAGCTATTCAATGCATTTAAAGAAGACTACATATCAAATAAAATTTAATATAAAAAAATACTCACCAAAGAGTCAATCCCTTCTTTATTCTCAACTGGTTTATACAGTGCCGGAGGTAGTGGAACTGAGGTTGTCAATCCTTTCAAATCTTCCTGCTTTTGAGTTAGGCGCTTTGTGATTGACATCCCAATATCACAGATTGCATGTGAGTTCTGTAAATTTCAACGAACATATTGTACAAAGCTTACTGATAAGATTTCAAAATCAACTAATCTCAGATAACCAATAGGAGGGACTAAAGGAAATGGTTTTCCTACCTTTGACTTCATCACATCAACCATATCTTCTGATAATTTGATAGCATGAAAAATAGAGATAATTGTAGAAACAGTCTCCTTTTCTTTGCTGGCACTAACTTCTGGCTTTCCAGCTTTATCTCCACGTATCAACACAGAAAGAAATAAATGCAACTGCCTAGAAAAGTACAGAGAAAATAAATAAACAAAAGTAAATGCTTTTGATCTTTTTGTTGTTTTTCTATTCATGCATACTACCTGGTTATATTATTCTAAAGTCCAAATGATATATGTATACATACTTGATCACTAACTGATCAGACTATTGCAGAAAATGAGAAGAGTGACCATGTACAGGAAAGGATATCCTTTCTAAGGTAATAACAAAAAAGACCTATATGTTGCTCACACACAAGCATCATATAAGACCCAACCCAACAGGTTCTCTACTAACCCAGGACAGCTTTATTTGCCATAAATCACATTCTGAACAATAAACAAGCAACCAATGTAACCTTATCTCATATTTGGGATATGAATTCTATTTTCTCCCTCTTTAGTGCCTAGTTTATGATAAAGTTTATCATGTGCCTTAAATTTAGCTTCACTCACTTTTCTTACACTTGAAGTTACTGCAGTTGGTAGAAGAGAAAACAGAAATCAATAGGAAGAAGAAGAGAGAAGAGAAGAGAAAAGGAGGTGGAAGAAGAGAAAAGAGAATAGAGGAAGAGCCAGAGAGGAATGGGCGAAAATCACTTACTGCCACCCAAGGCAGTGTTATTTATATGTTTAACATAACATTAGGTAAAAGGACAAAAATTCCCTACTACCTACAACAGTATAAGAAAGTAAGCATAAAGACAAAAATAAGAAATAAAAAGACTGAACTTATAGGACCACACATAAAGAATATCAGGTCTGGTCCACTATATCACTACATTTACTTCCTTTTATGTATTTTTTTATATTTTTCCAAGTTTTCTACATTATTAGCCTTTTTTCAATCTTTATAACATGTCCAGTTTGCTTTGGTTATGTCTTAAACCTCTTAGTTCCACCACCAAGTCTCTTAAGCAATTTGCCATTTTCCTTTAGATTCTCTCAACACCTATTTTGATACTTCTAAATACAGTTAACCACTTCAAGCGACATATTATTAGTCACTTTATCTAGATTCCATTTTCCTTCTACTATTCACTTGTCTTTAAATTATAATAGTTTTTCTCCTTTTATATTTGTATGCCTAGTTTTCAGTTTCCTATTTTCTTCTCTCTTTTTCTTCCATCTTTTAATGCACAAATCTACCACCATTAATCTACGTTGTGGGGTTAAGTTTTTACCACCATTAATCCATGTTGTGTGGTTAAGCTTTCCCCTGGAATGCATCTTTTAATTTGTTTCCAATTATATGTATGCAATCTTCAACATAGTAAGTGAAAAAAAAAATGACTATTTGTTTAAGATGGATGATGGGTAAGACTAAAAAAGACAAAAATAAAAGTAAGCACATTTGATAGAATTAAGGAAATGTAGAAATGTAATAAGATAAAGCAGTGAGTTAAGATGGGCCAGCTAAAGAAAAGAGAAGGGATAATGTGGAAAGCAGTTAAAGCAGCAGTGATTTGGACATATTCAATGAGAAGAAAAGGTCCAAGTAGGAAGTCGTAGATGCCAAAAAGATAAAAGTTGCACACTGGGTAAAGATAATGGAAGTCTTTCAAATTTTCTAAGTGAAGAATATTGTAAAATCTTGGAAGGAAGTGGCACAATCTGCTAAAGAAAAGGATAGAGTAATCATGGAATGGAAACCTCCAGCAATCAATTTTGTAAAACCAAATTTTGATGGAAGCTCATTAGGTATTCAAGGGGTGGATGGTATAGGGGGAGTATTTTGGGATTTATTAACAGCATAATAGAGAAGAAAGGAAGAAGAAGAGAAGAGAGGAGAGAAGGGAGAAGAGAAGAGAATGTTTTTTGGAGTCAACTTAATTGGCTGGCGGCGCCAGCTTATATTAATATATATAGGGCGACCATAATTAAAAGGGAAAGGACCCTAAACAAAGAAAAAAAAAGCTACAATACATAAACAAAGAAAAAAAAAAGCTACTTTAACTAGTCAAAACGGAACCTAACTCAGCAGAATACAAACATAAGAAATAAAGTGAACATTCCAACACTCCCCCTCAAGTTGGGACATGGATGTCAATCATGCCCAACTTGTCACACAAATTATTATGCCGCACATGATGAAGGCCCTTGGCGAAGATGTCTACAAGTTGTTCCTCTGAACTGACATATGGAGTGCGCACTTCTCCTCACATACTTTTCTCTAATAAAATGATTGTCCACTTCAATATGTTTTGTTCTATCATGAAGGGCTGGGTTAGCAGCAATATTGATAGCAGCTTTGTTGTCACAGTAGAGTGACATAGGTTTGCTAACTGCAAAACCCAGCTTTCCTAACAAGTTTTTTATCCACATGATTTCAGCAACTCCATGAGACATAGCTCTATATTCTGCTTCAGCACTGGATCTAGCCACCACACCTTGCTTCTTACTTCTCTAGGTGACTAGGTTTCTCCCCACAAAGGTACAATACCCACTAGTAGATTTTCTGTCATCGATTGCCCTTGCCCAATCAGCATCTGTATACACCTCCACTTTCAAATGCCCATGTATCTGGAATAGCAAATCAGCTCCTGGGAACTTCTTGAGGTATCTAAGGATTCTTTTTGTAGCTTTGAAGTGAGTTGTCTTAGGGTTATGCATGAACTGACTAAGGACACCCACTGCATAGGCAAATATCAGGTCTAGTCATAGACAAACATAAGTCTCCCTACAAGTCTCTAGAACTTCTTCACATCTTTCAAACACTCCCCCTGACTCTCCTAGCTGATGGTTGGGTTCAATGGGTGAATCAATTGGTTTTACTCCTAACTTGCCCGTATCCTCTAATAGCTCTAGTACATATTTCCTTTGGGAAATAAAGATGCCCTTTTTAGAGCGGGCAACTTCAATCCCAAGGAAATAACGTAAGGGACCTAGATCTTTCACCTCAAATTGAGTGGCTAGGAATTTCTTCAGCTTCTATATTTCAGTCTTCTAATCTCTGATAACTACTATGTCATTAACATACACAATTAAAGTTGCAAATTTCCCTCACCTTTCTTCACAAACAGAGTATGATCTGACTGGCATTGTTTGAATCCCATCTGTTGTACAGCTAAATGAAACCTACTAAACCAAGCCCGAGGTGATTGCTTCAACCCATATAATGATTTTTTTAACCTGAATACCTTCTACTCACTACCTTTGGCACAAAAACCTAGAGGTTGAGTCATATAAACCTCCTCCTCTAGGTCACCATTCAAGAATGCATTTTTAACATCCAACTACTGAAGTTCCCAGTCAAGATTAGCTACCACTGAAAGGAGGGTTCTGATCGAATTCATCTTGGTTAGTGGAGCAAAGGTCTCTGCATAGTCTACTCCATACACTTGTGTAAACCCTTTGGCCACCAATCTAGCTTTGTACCTTTCTACCAAACCATCAGCCCTATGCTTTACTGTGAATACCCACTTGCAACCCACTAGTTTCTTCCCTTCAGGAAGATCCACCAACTCCTAGGTGCCATTTTTGTGTAAGGCATTAATTTATTCCTTCATTGCATCTATCCATTTAGGTTTGGATAAAGCTTTTGCCACATTCTTAGGAACAAAGACACTGTCAATAGAGGAAAGGAATGCATGATATGAAGGTGAAATATGATCATAGGACACAAAGTGAGATATAGGATGATTAGTAGTACAAGATCTAACACCCTTTCTCTTAGTAATAGGAATATCAAGATCATTAATAACAAGGGGACCGATATTAAGAGGTTTAGGCATATCAATGGGAACAAGTGTACCTGGCTAATGAGGAGGATCTACCTCTAGAGAGTCCGATGATATTGATTACATAGTTTCAAGTTCCACAGCTCTTGAACTCTGCTGGCTCTTATGGCGGCGAAGAAAGACACAAAATAGAGAAAGATCAGGAAGAGGAGGTAGTTGAACCTGAGTGTGTTTCTCCTCAACCCTACTCTCCCCCTGTGGAGAAACTGAGAAAAAAGGTTAACTCTCAAAGAAGGATACATCCATGGAGACATAGTACTTGCGTGTAGCAGGGTCATAGCAATGGTAACCCTTTTGAGATAACGGATAACCAAGAAAAACACAAGGAGTGGCACGGGGATCGAGTTTACCGCGAGTAGGAGACAAGTCATTAACGAAGCAACGACACCCAAAGACACGCATTGGAATGGGGGACAGTGGAGTTGTAGGAAACAAAAGTTGATGTGGGGCCTTATACTCTAGTAACCAAGATGGTATATGATTGATGATATATGCAGCACATATAATAGCATCCATCCAAAAGCGTTTTGGAACATTCATATGAAGTAATAAACCATGAGCTACTTCAAGAAGATGATATTTTTTCTTTCAGCAACACCATTTTGTTAAGGTGTCCTGGCACAAGAGCTTCGATGAAGGGATCCACACAAAGCAAAGACTTATATCTAGTCTTTTGCATTGCCCGACTGGAACACAATCTTTGGAACTTCATCTTTAGATCACATAGGATAAACCCAAGTATATCTAGAGTAGCCATCAATCAAAGTAATGAAATACTTATATCCAGTCTTAAAGGAAAAGAATTTCTACAATGTTTGATCAATTGACACATCTGACACTGCAATTCACTAACTGACAAAGACTTAAATAACTCAGAAAACATAAGTTTTAAAGACTCAAATGAAAGGTGACCAAATTTATTCTCCAACACGTAGAGGTCATCCACCATGCTTCCTCTACCAATCGTCTCCCCCGAGGTCAAATCCTAAAACACACACGAAAGAAAGTAGGTCACTGAACAATTCAAGGAATGAGTAATACTGCTAATGGAGAGTAAATTGATAGGTAATTTAGGAACATGCAACACATTAGAGAGGGTAAGACCAAGAGGAAGGGAGATGGTTCCTTGACTGGCTATGGTGGAAAAAGACCCATCATCCAGTCTCACCTTATCTCTCCTAGAGAGGAGGTTATATGCATGAAATAAATTTGACTTACCAGTCATGTGGTTTGAGGCTCCAGAGTCAACTATCTAAGGGGAATCAGATGTATGAGATGATAC